GTGGAAATTAAGTGAATTTCAAAGTTGTATTGAGAAAGAATAAACTAGTTTTATTTAAGAAAGGACTTGTATCGCTAAAATTTCATCGAAAAGAAATTATACGGGAAATTAACAAACGAGAACAGAGACGTAATACATCGTAAGTAAAGTGTGTGAATCTCTGTGAATCATGTGTTTATAAAAGTAGTGAAGTTAAAGTGACTGTGGAAATTAAGTGTATTACAAAGTTTGTAACGAGAAAGAATAAACTAGTTTTAATTAAGAAAGGACTTGTATCGCTGAAATTTCTCGGAAATAATTTTTACGGAAATTATCAAACAAGCAGATACGTAACAATAAAATATTTTTTCATGCTCAAGTTGTGATAAATACAAAAAAGATAAATTTTATGATACTTAAATATAAAGAGTTAGTGAAAGCTAAAATAATTCATATTTTCTGATGAAACTTTTGCAGTATTTATAATGTTAGAACTTATATTTAAATATTACAGAAATACAACAATGACTGGTGGATTGGAAGGCTTGTTAAGGAAGGATGTGATGTTGGATTCATTCCAAGTCCTGTCAAACTAGAAAATCTGAGGATACAGCAATCCCATTCCCGCACTGGTAAACTCTATACTAGGTCTGTAGCATAGAGTTTGTTTTTATATTAATTTGTTTTAAAGGAATTTTGATAGAATTTAATTGTCAACGAACCTTTTAAAAAACTTTAATGAATGAATTTTATTGCATTTATAACACTGGCCACTGTTAGTTCAAAGTAAAACTATATGCCAGTAACAATGTAAATTAAATGCTGTAAGGAATATATGAACCAAAGTCACTTAATCATTAATCCTGAAGGACCATTAATCAATCATAGTTATATTTATTATATTAAAGAACTTTTCATATTTTTGCAACAAAAGTTTACCACAATTCTTGTTAGTTGGAGATAGAGGATCTTCAGTTGTGTTTAGTTGCATTGTAAACAATGGTGTTACGTAAATCTATACGAAAGCATGTCATTAATGATCAGAATACACATGTAGATTTAATACTGATTCGACTTCATACTCCAAAAAATAGCCCCTTTTTTGATAGAGTAACTTAGTTGATTTAGTCAGAGCCTTCAAGAAATTTTAAATTATAATTCAGTAAAAGTCCTTTCCAGAGTCTGACAGTGATAATGTATGTTAATTATTAAAGGTTGATGGTTTTGTTTATTAGTGTCATAGAGAATCACAAATTTTGATTATTTATTGTACTTGTTTACTTTCTTGAAATTACTTAACTGTGTTACACTAAACCTATTTTTTAAGAGATAAAAACATCAGAAAATCTTTAAAAAGTGATGCTCTTTTAAGAATACTGAAAATTCTTTGGTATGAAGGAATAGTCAATAAATTACTTAAATTTGCAGATGATATTAAGGTCTTGGGTATGAAGAGTATGCCGCTGATTTAGAAAAGGATTTAGATCATTTAATGAGTTTGGCAAATAAATGGCAGATGGGTTTTAATTATAATAAGTGCAAAATAAAGCATGTGGGTTATCATAATTTGAATTATTAATATAATTTGGATGGGAATAACTTTAATAGTGTCATGAAGGAAAGGGATCTTGGTGTAATAGTCGCAAGTATCTAAAGCCATCTAAGCAGTGTGCTGTTGCTAGTGGTAGGGTAAATAGGATTTTAGGTTGTATGTACAGAAATACTGAATACATGTCTAAAGAGGTTATAATTCCATTGTACAGGTCACTGGTTAGGCCAAATTTGGAATATTGTGTTCAGTCTTGAGCTCCTTACCTTAA